ACACACACTCAAACACACTCACACACACACACACACACACACAAACACACACACACACACACACACACCCACACTGACACACACACACACACACACACACACACAATCGCACACCCACACGCACACGCACACGCACACACACACACACTCACACTCACACACCTCAAATCAGTGTGCAGCAAAGCTATTAGCTTTAGCTATATATAGATATATATAGATAGACAGACAGACGGATGGACGGGTGGGTGGATGTGTTCAGAAACATTCATGAAAGTGTCTCTCTTTAAGTCACTTAAGTGGCCTTTAATTTTATTAATATGATATTATCTGCAAGCACAGTTTTGTTTTTTTAAACACATGTTAAATATTTGAAGTACAATACAAGTGCACATTCAATACAAAGAGTGCACTAATTTTTCACAAGGTGTGAGATTGACAGTGTTATTTTCAGCAATACTTTTTTATTTAGCATATTGAGCGCTGAAATATTCCCCTGTCCCTCTGCCTGTCAAACCGACTCTTCTCATCATCCAATCAATCCCAGACGGATAAAATCAAGATCCCCAAATATCCTGCTTCTCTGTGAAATATATCATATTATGGAAATAAAATGTGAATGGCATTTCACACTGATTTTGAGTCAGTGCTAAACGGCTGATAAGTGAAGTGTTTAGTCTCCTGATTACAGTAAAACGCTTCGTTAAGAGCGGGAAAACAGACACATTAACGGCCGTTTTCTGCTTGTCAGATGAAGTCCAAACCAGCAGCAGCCTTAAAGTGACATTAAAGCACTTTTCGCTGTTTGACCTCTGAGAAGCCGCGGCCACTGAATTATGAATGAATGGAAATGTGTGTGTAGCTGATAAGAGTAAGCATATTAGAGCATGTCAACACAGCTGATTTAACAACTACAGGCTGCAGGTGTTTCTCTCTCTCTCTCTCTCTCTCACACACACACACACACACACACACACTCTCAAGTGTCCAGCTGTCTTCCAGCTACCTCACTTTTAACCATGTCAACACATCAATCAGCAAGAAACTGCACTACAACTAGTGTGTCAATACATGGCAATCATACCTGACTCGCAGAGAGAGAGAGACGGAGAGAGGAGAGGTCATGACAGCTGTCTACAACATGACCAGGATGCAGTTCAGCCCAACATCAAACCAAATCAAATCAAATCCAAGAAATAAGTCATTACATATTGTTTAAAGTAAATAAAGATTATTGATTTATGTATGTATGTATGTATTTATTTATTTATTTATTTATTTAACACTTATTTGCTTGTCAATTACAATTAAATGGAAAAAAAATGTTTTAGAGTTTAAATTTATATTAAATAAAATTAGCTAAACTTTAGAGTGATTTTTTTCTGGTACATCTTTATACGTAATTTCAGAATGACATTGTTGGTGGAAATCACAATACAATATACATATTTAATAATAATAATAACAACAACAACAACAATAATACTACTACTACTAATAATAATAATAATAATAATAATTTTATTATTAAACATTATATATAATACTGACTGTTTATTATTATTATTATTATTATTATTATTATTATTATTATAATTTACTTTTTTTTTTTTTACTGGAGGAACTGTTATTATGGATTATGGACGCATATTTCAGCTGGAAACAATGGTTTGAAGTTATGTTGACTAACGTACTAAAGTACATGTAAAGCACTTGATTGTAATTTTAACTCTAGCGTGTTATTCAGTATTACATTTAAAATGAATATAATTTTTTTAAATACATGACACAAGTTTCAATAGAAATTGCATTAAAGTATATTTTAGTTTACAATGAATGCATGTCGGTACATTCATCAGCACTTAAGTGGGTCAAAAATCACTTTAAATTTCAATTAATGCATGTCGGTACATCCATCAGTACTTAAGTGGGTCAAAAATCACTTTAAATTTCAATTAATGCATGTCGGTACATCCATCAGTACTTAAGTGGGTCAAAAATCACTTTAAATTTCAATTAATGCATGTCGGTACATCCATCAGTACTTAAGTGGGTCAAAAATCACTTTAAATTTTAGCTAATTGATATTAATATAAACTTGAACTATAATAAATTTTAATTTAATTAAAAAGCGTTCCAACAGTTTGTTCCTGCTAATACTAGCGTATGCTCCAGTCGTTCTGTATATTCTGTGTTTGTGTGTTTGACTTTGTAAAGAGCCGGTGTCAAGAGTTAATTGTTGATCCTGCAGTTGTGTGGAAATCTCAGTCCCAAAGCACTTAATTTCCCTTTAACACGCGCACTCACAAACCCTCCAGACGCACTGCAGCAATCAAACACAATCACGGCCGGCACCACAGCCATTCATTTGGAGATTTTTAAGTGCTGTCAGGCCTCGTGTGTCTGAGACGGGTGAATCTCACCGACGCCAGGGTCACGTTTCAAACCCAAATAAGAATACAACACAAATGACTTTCTGCGTCAGGCGGACGCTTTATCTGAAGCAATGTATACGGCCATTCAAGCTGCATTTTCAGTTTGTGTGGGTGGAAGTAAAACCATGACCTTGTTGTTGTCAGCATCAAGTTCTTCCATTTGAACTACAGAAATGAAAAATCAGGAACAAAAGCATAAAAAAAACCTTCATATATCACAATCTGT